TCAGTAATAATGTCATCATCGTCACATTGTTCTTCTTCACCTTCTTCCATTACAACCCCGGTTTCTCCGTGCTTCGTCCAACAAATATAGTTTGGCATGAAACCTGACTTCAACAAGTGTGAATGAAGACTCCTTGAACTAGCATATTCCTTCAAATTCTTACATATGGCACATGGGCAGCACATGAAACCATCGCGTTTGTTTGCCTCGGCCACACGTAAGAAAGAATGCACGTCCTCAATGAACTCTTGGGAGCGGCGATCAGCATTGTACATCCAATGCCGGCTCATCTGCATTACATGACATACATACCATATTAAAACCTAGAACATAATTAGTTAAGTATACGACATGCATGCCACCACACAAGGTATTAATTTATGAAAGTCTCGCTACAATGTAGACAATCCCAACTATCACTAAAAAAACTAAAGCTAAAATGCACTTCAGCAGCATAAGGATTTCGCGACCAATCCCAACTAAAACAGACAGATCATGCGTTTGTTCAACATCTATGGGCTTCTTCCGCAGGATCACTGCCTCATCAGCCGCCGTAGCCGCCTGTGTAAGAGAGTTTTGCACGTGTTCAACAAACTCTTCCTCCCAATACCAGCCTGAACATCCAGTGTCATCCCACTGAAATTAAAACAAAAAATTAGAACTCTAATCACAATCATCATGAAAATAAGTATAAATTAACCATAATCATCAAATACGATAAAATAACTCACATTGCGATCCAGACACTTGTAGAAGATACGGCCCTTGTTGAGACACTCATTCCTCACCCGGTACTCTATCACAATCTTCTCACACTTGCCGCATGCAATGAGAGGGAGGTCCGGCCCCAGTCGCTTTAGAATCCGATGAGAGGCCGAGGACCCGGAAGCAGTTGCCATCTACTCTCTATACTCATTTTTAATATAATATAAATTTCTTATTTTATAAACAAATAAAATTAAAAAAACTCTAAAATTCTCTATATCTCTAAACCATGAAGTGTGCTATGCATGCTAGAAATGAAAGCTGAATACTAGTTTTGAATAACTACTTTAACCTTCCTTCATCCAAATATGCAAACTTTAAAGTGATTTTGAGCTTAAATGGCTTACAAATAAAAAAAATCCACCATAAAAAACCACATATATCTAGTCCACAAAATGAGATATGCTACTGATGAAACATGAGAGTATAAAGTTGGTAACCTTTAGAACCGAAGAATCGATGGAGGAATCGAAGAAATCTTGTGATTATCGGCAATGAGGAAGAAGAGAGGCCGACGATGAAGCAAGAACACTGAGGTCGAAGTGGCTCGGGCTCGGGGAGGAAGAAGGGGTATATAGGAGGAGACCTTTAGTCCCGGTTGGAGACACCAACCGGGACTAAAGGTCCCTTTCTAGTCCCGGACGGAGCCTCCAACCGAGAGTAAAAGTTAACCTTTAGTCCCGGTTGGTAGCTCCAACCGGGACTAAAGGTCCCCTGCAGCAAAAACCTGCCGCAATAGCCGTTGGGCAAGGACCTTTAGTCCCAGTTGAAGCTACCAACCGGGACTAATGGTTTCTCTAGTCCCGGGCGCGAAAAATATCAGGACTAAAGCTAAATTTCGAAGTGGATCAAAGGTCGTTTCTCTGCTAGTCGGTGAACGAAATAATAAGTTAATTGCCATGGATAAGAAAAGAAAGCATATCCCCAAGACAATTAAGTATTCATGCATGTGTAGGCTCTGTGATTCTTATGTGAGGATCTGTCTGGGGCATATCATGGAACAAGATTTGCTTCGCACATGGGAAACCAAACCAACAAGGAGGTCTAGATCAGCTGGTAAGTTTGTATTAATTTAATTAAATCACTGATTACGGAGACTAACAATAGTACGAAAAGCGGACAAAGGTTGGTTTGTCCGGTAAGCAGCGGAGTCGTGGCGTTCCCTAGGCACCTAATTCAAAGAGAAGCTTCTGTGGTTGAAAGCAATCAAAGAGGAAGACACATATAATATGGAGACAAATACAAATGGGTTAGGAATAAAGAAATGGTTGAGGGAAGAAGGCTGAGTAGGCAAGCAGGAACAGATCAAGAGCCCCCACACACTAAATTCAAGGACCATGACAGCAACTCCTACTCGCCTACCATTGTGTGGTGTTGCTAATAATAATAATTGAGCAGCAACGTCACCGCGATATCAGCAACAGCTTAGCTAATCAAAGAGCTGTATATATAATGTGCTCATTGCAAATTTTGAAGCCCCCTTATATATTCTGCACCTTCTTTTTATTTGATTGACGACAGATCCAGCTTGTCACTGAAAGTACACAACAATGCAATCTCGAAACATAGATCAATAGTACCTACTATAAGTTTGAAACATATGTAGATCAATAGTAGAATAGTGCCTACCATAAGGTACACAAAACTCTTGGACAACTAGATTATATCGCCGTGTCTTATAGTCCGAGGGGATTTATTTTTCTCTATGGTGTAATTTAGTCTATAATTTACCACCGGTGGAAACTGTTTGGCAGTTTCATGGATGTTCTTGGGTATGTATAGCCTGTATAAGAAACCCTCATAAGCAGCCATTAGTTACACCAAAAGGAGAGCTTACCAAGGCATTCAAAGAACAAGTTAGTGATCAAACTAATCATGCTGATAATTTTATCTAAAACCCACTCCTTTGAATAAGATATCAATGGCGGATGGTTGCTGGAACTGGCTTCAACTTGTAAGAGAGGACCATTGGTTTTCCTTGAAAAACAAAACATCCAATCAAAGTGTTTCTCTGGTCTAACAAGGCACCATAGATATATAAGATTTGTCATCCATATTGCATATTATTCAGTTATTTGCTTATTATTCACTCGCCGTGTTTTAATAATGTGCTGTTTTTTTATGCGGTCCAGTACTGAAAATAATCATATTATGTTCTTCATCCTAACAAGTAAATACCATAGAAACAATTGAGTATTTTTTTCTTTATTTTGATGACTTTGGTGACCTGATTGTTCAGGTGATGGTGGGGTAATTGAGAGCGAGGCTTTTATTAGAGTCACTCAAAAAATGTTATATAATTCCTATAACAAATCTGGGATCGCTCATCCACTCAAAAAATGATATATAATTCATGTAACAAATCTGGGATCGCTCATCTTCACCAGATATTTGTCAGGTTTAGAATATGCTACATACATACCCTCCTCGCAAGGAAGCAAACTAAAAAGTGGAAAAGAGGTTAATTAGTGGGTGGTTACAGGAAAGTAAAAAAGATGGGGTAGTAGATTGTAGAAGTAGCCAGTAGGATAAAAAAGGAGGCATGCACTCACTCACTACAGACTACAGGTAGAGGTAGGGGGTGGATGGATGGATTTGTAATTTAAAGTCTAAGACAAGGCTGGATAGATTGTTTTTATATTAGGTCCACCCACTGGTTGTTAGCTTGGGAGATGAGATGAAGAGCATCCATCCATCCATCCGTCCATCTGACCATCCCTAACCACAACACCCACTCCCAACCTCAACGTGTGCATAGCAAGCCCCCTTCCCCATGCAACCTTTGATTTGAAGAGAGGTTACCAAATCATCCACCGTTAACAGTACTTAATTAGCACTATATCTCTGTCCTGGTTCATCATATCCGTTGCCTTGGGATTATGTCCAAGTTATAGTTCACGTGTGCTAAGGTCATTAAATATAGGTATCATTGTTAAGATGTGTGATAACAGGGTAAAAAAAAGGTGGTGCTAGTATTTCACTTATATGACTTCACTGGAAGTTAATTGGTAAAAACTATCTAGTAATAGTTAGGGGCGGAATTGAGAGGTGACTCTTATATTGCATCACCTTCCGCTCAACAACTTTTTTCTACCTATACTAGAAATGTATTCGAGAATATATATATACTGGACCCATAGCTGTGGAATATATATATTGCCTTTCTTGTTGTAGTATTCATGATAAGCTCTAGTAGCTTTTTTTCTTTGGAATATCTTCCCCCCTTTATTTGCATCTATAACATGTGAATTTGTTAATGTTCAATGCAGCTGTTGGGTGGTGCATGTTCCCATATGCTTATTTACTCGTATCTGACTTATAATCCACGGCTTGAACAGTATTTTTCTCTCACACCAATCCAGCCAGTAGTACTTTCAGCCATGGCTTATAAGCCAATTCAACCAAAACGAACAGGCTGATTGTGCGGCTAATAAGCCAGCTCTGCAATTTGGTGCAGAAAGAAATGAGGGGGGTTTGGTTTGGTTTGGTTGGTGGACCCGTGCCATCGCGTAAGCTCGTGGACCACATGAACCACCCAAGGAGGCAATGCAAGGAGGGGGGGGAGGCCGGCTGGCCCCCACCACTAATGACTTCTCTCATTGGGGCGTTGATGTCACACGTGATAAATCCCCCCTTGCCTCCATGCCTTTGTCCTCAAATGATGTCATGATTCTGCGTATCTCGCCCATCAGCTAGCTGGCATCAAAACCCCCCAAAAAACCAGATGCACTAGGAGCACTGATGGAAGAAGTCATTAGTAATTTCCAATGCAATCTGCAGGTTTTCATCCTTGATCGTAACTGAATGATTTTGTTTTTACTGCACGAGACAAATCCACCTAAATAAGCAGGCAGCACAAGGGTTGCTATGTGCTGCTGGAGCTGGATAGATAGAGAGAGAATGAGAGATGCCTAGGCTTTGTCGTAAAGAAACAACTCGGCAAGTAGCTGCCGAGGGCTCCTACTCCTGTGGTGGTTACACCAGCAAATAACTCCAAGCTGTGAACAGTAGGGAAGGGGGTTAGTTAAAGGCAGTGTAATCCTGGCCTGCTCAGCCCAACAGCAACCAATTCATTTAATAAAAGGAGGAAAAAAACATTTCTTTTGGAGGGAGGCACGCATTATTCCATATTTGGTGCTGTTGTTAGTGGGTGCTGCTAGCCAAGCACAGCTTCAGCTTCTTCTCCCACCCTTTTCCATATCACTCAAGGAGGAGAGGGAAGGAGGGAGCTCAGACTATTGCTGGCTGCAGAGGAGGAGGTGGAGAGGAGGGAGAAACAGAGAGAGAAGGGAGCTCCTTTTTCTTTCTGGAATTGTTATTTTATCCTGGGAAGGATCTGATTTTGTTCCCATATTGGGAGGATTGATTATCTTTCTCAGCTCTCCCCTTCTTCCCCTCCCCTCGACCCTCAGCCTCAACAAGATCAGCTTTGCTGTGGAGGCAATCCCTGCCTGCCTGCCTTGTTGCCTGCTCCTCCAGTGCTCCCCATGAGAGGAGCACACCACACCTTCAGGTCCAGCTCGTCTTCCCTCCCATTTTCTTATTGCCTCGCCTTGTAACATCTGCACCTCCTCCATGGCTCCATGCTGCCGCAGCAGCAGGAGCAGACGAATTTCTTATCTCCGGTTCGCGGATGAAAAACACTCTGAATTCTGGTTCTCTTGCTGTTCTTGGATTCGCGGGCTGCTCTTGCTTCCTTGGATTAGCAGAGTTGGTAGGGTGCTGCTGTTTCTTCTCTCTGAATTTGGAGGAAAAGATTGAGCTCTGATTTTACTTTAGTTGGATACGGATGATAAGATGATCTTTTCTTGTGCTGGCGTTGAGTTTTCTTGTAGAATCCAAAGCTCCCAAGGAGAAAAGATGCTCCTTTTTGACATTGAGGAGACATGCGTTCACCAAAGTTCTTCCCTTTCTTGCTCTACCAACTACTACTGATACTCGCGAACCACATATCCGATTCGTTTGAATTCTTTGTTTCTAGCGTCCTCTTTTCCAACTGGCAACCCACTCGTTTCGTTGGGTATCTTGGCTAATAATTTGAACTTATTGGTCCTTTCGAGTTGGATTTATGACTGAATTTTACAAGTTTTCCTCGTTCCTCTTTGGATGTTTGCATGAATGAAAGCCAAGCTCTTAAAGCTCTGTTCCCTTTACTCCTAACCTTTTTTGTGGTACTTCTTGTGTTGTGTTGGAATTACTGCACCCCAAGTGCTTTTTCGACCAAGGAAATCTTACGTCTTTTCATCAGAATTAACTGCTGCTTTTGTTCTCTAGTACTAGTACTAGCTTGTAACAGCAAAGTTTTTGCCTTGGAGCTCTCTCCTGGTTTCACCCCCTTTTATGTCGTAAATAAATATAGTCTCTGCTAGAAAGGATTTTTTTTTTTTTTTGCCTCAAAACTGTGGACTAGGAGGCTAAGCAGTTTTATCTCTTCTCCCAGATTGATCAGAAAAGGCTTTGTTCGAATTGGTAGCACGCCCGTGAGGCATCTTTGAGGACCCAGTCTATTGATTAAACAAGGTACTGCATAGAAATGAGCAGTACTCTCTCAAGATTCTGCTTTTCAAACTCCAACAAGCTATTCGTCCAATTCTCCTTTCCATGAGATATAGTTTATATCCAGCCTCTTGTTCTGTTATTAAAAAAAAGTTTATATCCAGCCGTGTTTCTAAATAATATTGGCCCAATTATTTGATTTTGGTTTCTTGCGACGTGTGATTGTCTATCTTGGTATAACAAATGGAATTCACAAGCATATACTCTTGTTTATCATGATAACGGAGGCAGTGCTCTCGATCCAATCTAAAAGTGAAAGAGGACCACCTGTGCCTCCAGCCTGCCAATCGGCTCATCGAATTTTCAGTCCATATGTTCTCACTTCTACTGCAAATTTTGTATTAAACCCTTTTGCGTACAAAGTTTCTATTGAATCCATTTCCGTTTCACTGAACTGCTTTGCAAATAAATTGGTGTGTCATTTTATTTATACTGCAGAGAAGATAAACCTTATCAATCTTGAATTTTATTAAAGCTTCCTATCTGACCCACTTTGCTTCACTCAATTGCAGGAAAGCTGTAAGCGAAAGGTTTCTGTCGGCTGCTGAAAGTTGATTCATCAGTCAATTTCCAAGGTGGTTCTGCATACGCAGTATCTTTTGCAGTAATCTTGATCAGCGAGCGGCCAGAACTGTATGATGGCTACTTATTACTCGAGCCAGGGCAGTGAAAGGGACTCACAGAACATGTATTCTAGAGACCCCGGCAATGCATCCTATCCGATGCCATCGGCTCTAGGGAACTTGCTTTATCTGAACAATCCTGCTTCTGGACCATACACAGAGTTCAGTGGCATTCTACAGTCCCAGCAGAATTGCATAGAGATGCCTGAACCTGGCCATCCTTCAGTGATGTCCCAAGACTCATCTGCAAGGGAGTTCGACATGCTTGGTTCCCACCAGGGGCAGCGCTCTTTCGGCCTAGTCAAAGATATGAAGAACGAGATGTTGATGCATATGATGGATGGATCACAGAGCAGTACAGCTGATCTCATCCATGATGATGCCCAAAATGGTATACAGCTTGATTTTGGTGTTCTGAACAACCACGGCTCGTCGAACATTCCCTCGGTGCAAGGCCAAGGTTTATCTCTCAGCCTCAACACACAAATCCTGGCACCTTCCTTGCCATACTGGTCTGTCAAACCAGATATGTTGTCGCCACACTCTTACCATGATAGTCTTCGAGTCGATGACATCCGAATGAAGAGTATGCAGTCCGAGTCCTCACGGGCAATCCGGAACTCAAGGTATCTGAAAGCAGCTCAAGAGCTGCTTGATGAAGTTGTGAACGTTTGGAAGAACATCAAGCAGAAAGCCCAGAAAGAACAGGTAGAAGCAGGAAAGACGGATGGCAAAGAGACCGAGGGAGGGCCGAAAAGTGAGGGTGTGTCCTCTAATCCGCAGGAATCTGGTGCCAATGCAGCACCGGAGCTTTCTACTGCTGAGAAGCAAGAGCTTCAGAACAAGATGGCAAAGCTGATGGCAATGTTGGATGAGGTGGGTGACACTATTCGTCCACTATCACGTGCTTTTCTTTTGCAATAAAATTGCAACAGTCAACATCACTTCTTTTTTATTACTGTAGATACAGCGTTTCATAGCTTAGTGAGATTAGAACATGGATTCGTAGAGTTCATCCTGTAAGACTTTGGATAAAACGTTTATTTATTTTTATTTAACAACCATTTAATGCTGAGGAAACATATTCCAGGTGGACCAGAAATACAAGCACTACTACCACCAAATGCAAAGTGTGGTTTCGTCTTTTGATATGGTAGCTGGGCCTGGAGCTGCCAAGCCTTACACTGCAGTTGCTCTCCAAACAATCTCACGACACTTCCGGTGCCTCAAGGATGCTATCAATGATGAGATTAATGTCATCAGGAAGAAGCTCGGGGAGGAAGAAAATTCATCTGGCAAGGAGGGAAAACTAACTCGTCTCCGGTACATCGATCAACAGCTTAGGCAACAACGAGCTTTCCAACAGTATGGCATGATCCCACAAAATGCTTGGAGGCCACAGAGAGGGCTTCCTGAAAACTCTGTTACCATTCTTCGTGCTTGGCTCTTTGAGCATTTCCTTCACCCGTAAGCAGCTTCCCATGTGGCGCTTTATTCAGTATTCCTTGTGTTCTTTTTCTTGTTCCTCACCATCTGTCATGACATTATCTTGCAGGTACCCTAAAGATTCTGAAAAATTGATGCTAGCAAGGCAAACAGGCTTGACAAGGAGTCAGGTAATGTTTCTTATTCGTATTTTTCCTGGTCCATATTCCAGTTCACATGTGCATAGCAGCTGATATAGTACTGCTGAATGCTGAATGCGCCTCAAACATGTAGTCAAATGCCAGAGGCTGTTCAGCATTATGGTTATTCTTGCCTTTGATGTTCCTATCCTGAAACTGTTGCTACTTGTATGATTTCATCGATGCATCTTGACAGAGGACAACATACCCTTTTACTAGATTAACATCTCCTGCTTAAGTTATTTGGGTTTTACTATTCAATATCTCTATATTCTGACTGTACTTTCATGCCTCTCCAGATTTCAAACTGGTTCATCAATGCCCGTGTCCGCCTCTGGAAACCGATGATCGAGGACATGTACAAAGAAGAGATTGGAGATATCGAGCAAGACTCCAATTCTTCCTCCGACAACGCGTCAAGAAGCAAGGGCAAGATGGCATCTTCTGAAGACAAGGAGGACCTGAGAAGTTCTACGCCTCGGGTCTGCGAGAGCAGCCAGCTGAGCGAGTCAAGAGCCAGCATGAGGACCATGAACGTCGGCGGTGGAGCATCCATGGGATTCCAGAACGAGCCGAACCCTGACGACAGCTTCATGAACCTGATGCTGAAGGACCAACGATCAAACGAAGAAGATGGCGGCCTCCTCCTCCACAATGCTGTGGCGCAGCACCAAGATGAGAACGCCCGGTTCATGGCGTACCACCTGGCGGAACTTGGGAGGTACGGGAACGGCAATGTATCGCTCACCCTGGGGCTGCAGCACTCCAGCAGCAGCCTCTCGGTTCCGAACGCCCAGCAGAGCTTCCCCGGTGTCGGTGTCGGTGTCGGTGTCGGAGACGATGACATCTACAATGCCACCGCTCCTCTCGGTGTCAGCGTGGCGTCTTCGGACTACGAGTCGATGAACCAGATGGATCAACGGCAGCGGTTCGCGCAGTCACCCCTTCTGCATGATTTTGTGGCCTGAATGCTCATTTGCTCATACATCAGATGATTTGTAGCACCTGCCGGCCGGCCGGGTGAATAATATATATATATATATAAGCCTGAAAAGGAGCATTGTTGGGTTGTAGCCTGTAGTTTCAATTGGATACAGATTGGAGGTATAGCAGGAAATGTAATATAGCGTAGGTGGTTGGGGTGATAGGGTAAAAAAAGGATCTTGTAAAGATGAAACACACTATACTATACGTGTAAAAGCTTGTGATTTGGGGTCACCATACTGTAAAGTAATGGCTACTTAGGGTCCAGGAATATATTGGTATATGATGAATGTTCGAATGGGACCGAGCCAGCTAGAGTAGCAATCAAGATTTAAAAGCATTTCTGTGAATTCATCACATCTAGTGTGCGAATGTTCTAGCTGCTGCAGACTCAAAAATCATGTTCAGATAACAGCTGCTAGAAACCTGCACTGCTCCAAGCTGTGCCGCCATATCTATGAGTTGCATATCTCAGAAGAAGGTGCAATTGTTTCAAGTCTAGCAACCTATGAGATTTATGCAAATGCAAGAAGCAAAAACATTTGGCCATATTTATGAGAACAAAACTGACGAGCTTCTAGTTTCAGGCCAGCTTGTTGCGAGTCAATTCTATCACCTCAGCAAAAGGAAAAGGCCAGTTCGTTTGCACTAGAAAAGTTCAATAACGCTACGCCTTGGCACACTTCCTACTTGTAATTTGCTCCGATCAAACAAAACTACTAAGCCAAGCAAAAAATATATAAAGGGCGGTCAGGCATGTCGTCAAAAGCATCTCTGTGAATTCATCACTTCAGTTAACAGCTTCATCAAGCACTGCACCTGCACTGGCATGCTTCCGTACACAAGCAGGGCGTGAGAACGTTGTAGCTGCGGCTACCCCAATCATATCAAGATAGTTAGCAGCATATGGTGGTCTAAACTGCCGCTACCCTCCGTGAATTATACACTACAGAAAATAAGTAGCATCGTTTCAGGTCTAGCAACCTAGGTCGATGTAAAAGTAGGCAACCATCCGAGTGTTTTGTCAATTCTACGACAACAAAATTGAAGAGCTTCCAGTTCTGCGTCAGCTTCTTGAAGGCATCAACTACTTCAGGTGGTCTTGAGGTCCATCGCCTCCCTGCAACAACCAGTTGACCATAAGGACATGAAGCAAAAGAGGATGCCTAGACTCAGACAAGGTATTGTGGAGCACAGTGGAGCAACAGCTAGTAGCTACATACTATCCAGACACATCCATATCATTCAAGGAAATTAGGAGGAAAACATGGATTGGATCTCCTACCAAAGCAATTTCTCCATCTCTTCACTTTCAGGGTCCAACTCCAAGCCACGATTGAATGCATCATAAGCACTGTCATAATCCTGAGCAAGGCAAGTGCATAGTCCATTTAGATAGCAGATAAGGAACAGCAGAGATTGTTAATCTGTATGTAATCTTCGGTTGTTGGACCTCCAGAAACATCAGGGCAGCTCCTTGCCGGTAGTAGGCCTTCCCCCACTTCGGGCGCAGATGTTTGCATTTCATAGCATCAAGCAAAGCCTTCTTTCCATCACCCAGGCGAAGCCAGCAAAGGCTCCTGTTTGAGAACAATGTAGCGTCGAACTGATCAACCTTCAAGGCCTGCAGTCAACAAGACAGTATCAAGTTCTTTTGCTGTCGCCACATCCTAGAAACCACCACTTAATTCAGAACAGTCATTTGCCATTTGCTCTGTAGGTAGGATGGACAAAATTGAAATGCCATGTAGAATGGCAACTCAAATGCAGAATTGCTCCAAAAGAAACCAGAGCAGGTATCAGGTATCATTTATTGCTGAGGTGATTCTAGTCTTTTTAAGGAGCCGCATGGGTAGTATAGTATAAATATAAAGATGTGACTGGGGAAGTTTCGATAAGTCAACTTATAACAAGATCACCCAAACAAAGGGAAAGGGAGTCAAGATGAACAGCTTTGGACCCCCACCAAAAAAAAAAGGCAGGACAAACACAGGAAATCGTACATTGAGGGCACTAGGCAACGAAACACCAAAGGAAGAACATGATCCATGGATCTACCTCCAAATGAAAGTGATGTGTAAGAACATACCTGTGTGTAGAATACTGACGCGTTTAGATAATCCTCCTTACTAAATGCATCAGCTCCTTGTCTTTTCAGCTCGGACTTTTTCTTTTTGACAAATGCATCATCCTAAACAGCTCACAGCAAACTGAGTCAGACATAGGTCAAACAATCCAGTGCATGTAGACAAGAAGAGTCAATGGTATAACAAGTTGTTAAGGTGAAGTGGAACGATAAGGGAAACATTTTTTATCATTGTATTGCTTATCGCTGTAACAGTCCCAGTTCTTACTTTCCAATTCCAGACAGAAAAATAATCATTTGAGTATGTGTAAGAAAGAAAACTGGTCTACATGGTCCTTTGAATAGTATTGGAGTTAAGGAATCTCCTAAACCTATTCAAGAAAGTATCATTCAATCAAATAGGAGTTTAAGGAGCAGCTCAGATACATCTCTCATGCTATTAAACACACATGCATAGCACATTTGACAGGTCAATGGAAACTCATTGATTGTTGATTTCTCAAGTATGCAAAGTTATGACCATAATTGTACAGGGAATGAATGTGCACATGACTGTTGATGATGCATGGTCTTGTTGATGGCATACCTCTAGTTGCATGACTTCCATGTATACATGACTAATTACTCCGTTAACACTCCAATCTGCCACTGTTGGAATTTTGGAAGTGACAGGAAATAGAAGTTCAACATCTTCCCATGTACCATACTCAGCAGCCAATTCTATTGGCAGCCTGCCAAACTGTTGAGCAAACAAACATATTGTGGGGATGAAGTATAGAATTTTTAAAAGAAAAAGAATAACAAATTGAGCCTTCTCCAACTAAATACTATTAATTATTGAAGAACTATGCTCCAGCAGCAGCTACACTAAATCCTGAACAAAATCAAAGTAGTCGCCCTAAATACTATTAATTCTTGAAGAACTATGCTCCAGCAGCAGCAACTCTAAATCCTGAACACAATCAAAGTAATCGCCTAACAAAGTACTTACTGATCCAGAATGCAACCACTTCTGAATCCATTCCATACGCAGACCAATGCAATGACTATTAATTCACTACCGCCATAGCAGGTTAAGGAAACCTATTATGCTGCAACCATCTATATATTCCTGACATACTAAAACAAAAGACTCGCCAAAACAGTAATGAGGTTATGCAGAAAATAGGTAAGCCAGCAAAGCAGTCAGACCACACCTTACTATTTACTTCTAAGCTCTAATAACACATAGACCTTGTACCGTCATAAGAGCATTTTTGCATGGCATCATGTTTGTGTATTACATCATACCAACATTGCATATGTGTATTAGACAGCGCTATGGAAGATATAAAAACAAGCAGATCACTATAGTGATGCATGCAACAAGAAGCAAATCTCACTGTGTCAGGAACATTTGGATTTGCACCAGCTTCCAACAAGCACTTGATAGCTTCAGTCAAACCTTTCTCTGCAGCTTTTGCCAAAGGATTATAAGATCCAAAACCATTCACATCAGCTCCAGCCTACAAACGTAATTTAAGACAAAGCAATCATACGCTTTCTCCATAAACCGATGACTAACACAGACTTAATTACATAACTAGACCCAGCATCAGTTACGGAAATTCTATTGCAGTCAGAATGCAGCAAACAGCTTACCTGAACCAAAAGTTTCAAACAAGGCATAGAAGAGTGTTTTAATGCCATGCTTAATGGTGTAACTTCATCATTCATACGCTCATTGGGCTGCAAGAACAAAAAAATCAATATCAATGCTAAAATAAAAACCCGCACTTGAGAAGCAAACAATTTAAAAAGGGCGTACCCAGTGCAGAGAGCTCCCGCTCTGTGCGGGGTCTGGGGAAGGGTGTTAGTGGCAAGCCTTACCCTCGCCTGTGCAATGCGAGGAGACCACGACTCAAACCCGGGACCTTCCAGTCACAGGCGGTAAGACTCTACCGCTTGCACCAGGCCCACCCTTCAGAGAAGCATAGAATTTCAGATGAAAAAAACAATAGTATCCTATTGAAGTGTAGGTTATATGTTCCTAATGTCCTATTTGATTTTCAGGACCTCAGAGCTGCTTATGTCTGGGTGCCCAGTTACCCATGTCTTTGATCAGGGTCACACATCAGCAGCTCAGAGAAACCGAGAATACAACTGGGAACAATGGGAGAGAGCAGTGAACCGTGCAGCTTCCAGAGCAAATAAAAATAAGAGTTACAGTTAGCACATACATCTGCACCATGCTCCAATAAAATCTTCACAATGCTAGGATATCCTCTAAAAGTAGCAATGAGCAGTGGGGTCAAGAGACTTGATTCCCCATCAACACTAACTCCTTTAGAAAGCAGGAATTTGGCTATTTCAGACCGCCCTGAAGAAACATATGAAAAAACAGATGGTCACAGAAAGTATAGTTAATAAAGGATTTCTGGGGAAATAAGTTTCAAATTCCAATAGCGCTACAACAAATAAGCTGTCTTCGTTCACAATTCCTTGAAGGACATACATGGAATGATGGAAACCAATGATTATCCTACTAGATTAACAAATTATGAATTATATCTACAGAAAAGGCATCTTTTTTCTCAAAGCAAAGAGAAAGCTATAGCTTTTTTTTTCTTTGAGGGTGAAAGAGAAAGTTATAGCTTCAGTAACTAGAACAAAGCACATGAAAATTAATATCCTGACGGAAGACACATGAATTAATTGAGAAATACAGTGCTTACAAATGATGATACATAGATTTCAAACAGAATATTTTATGTAATTGAGGGCAGACAATTTGAAATGATGTGACAAATATGAAAAACACTTTCTGAAGACAATATAGCATGCACATATTAATTGACAAAAGCTTGTAAAGTTCATACCGCCCTCTGCAGCTGAATGAAAAAGACTCATTCCTTTATGCTGATGATGAACATCAGCGCCGTGATCAACAAGAAACCGCAAGGCTGGCAGGTTCCCATATAGCACGGCATGCATCATGGGCGTGAAGCCTCGCAGGGTATCAGCCTTGTTGACGTCAATTTTGAGATCCTTGACCAGATACTGGAGGACAGGCATGCAGCCACTGTCACAAGCGGCGTGGAGGGCGTACGTGCCGAGGAAGTGGGTGTTGGCCAAGGTGTCCTGAAGCCCTTTCCCCTCAGTGTCAATGATCTTTGCGATCTCTTCAGTGATGAAAAGAATGAGATGGAGGGGGAGAAAACAGAAAAGGGAATAATTTAGTTACGAATCATGGTAAGAGCATGTAAATCAGGAAGCACTAACATTTTCTTTAAACATCACAATTTTATTCAAATCAAAATGAACGAAACTCTGCCATGTGCAGCACCAGAGCTAGCATCGAGGTAATTAGTAGTTAAGATGCTTTTGTGATTGGCAGTACAAGCTGTCAAATTTACAGTAACTGAAGCATACATGAGCAAAAGAAAAACATCCATATGACCATATATAACTAACAAACTTCTCCATTTCATTCCCTTCATGATAGCCATGCAAATTTTGGTGGAGACGCACCAAAGCCATGTGCTTAGAATTAGGAAAGTCCAAACACATGCACCAATTGATCAGTATAACGATTAAACACCTAATCTGACAGTAACACACAGATGGAACGAATCCAATGCATTTCCCCCCTAACTTTTAGGGACGAATCATGGAAAGAGCATACAAACCAGAAAGCCCTAACTTTTTGTTTGAAGACCCCATTTTCATTCAATCAAAATGAAACTCTCCTAAGTCCCATCCCATGTTGAGGAGCAGAGCTAGGTTCAAGCAATTACTGTAGTAGCTAAGATGCATTTGTGGTTTGCAGTACAAACTGTGATTTTTTTTTTTTTTTTTTGCAATAACTGAACCATACATGATCAAAAGAAAACATCTGTATGTATGACCGTATATAACTAGCAAACTTGTTCATTTCATTTCCTACATTGCGGCCATGTAACTTGTGGTGGAGAACTGGAGATGCACCAAGCCATGTGCTTGGAATTAGGTAAGTCCCAGCACAGCACATGGATCGATCGATCCGTGTAAAGATTAAACCCCCTAATCTGACAGCAACACTTCCCCTAACGCAAAAGGCAAAACCCTGAGCCGTGGCGCGGTGTACCGGGGGGAGAGGGGGGTTTACGCAGGCAGCACGTACCCTTGAGGCGGCGGATGTCACCGTAGTAGGCGGCGACGAGGAGGCCCGCCTCGGGAGGCCAGTTGTCCCAATCTGCTCGGAACCAGAATCGCAAATGCAGCAGCAGTCAGTGAGTGAGATGGGGAGGGTTTAGCGGATTCCGAAGAAGAAGAAAATCGATCGGGGGAGCAAGGCAAAAGCAAAGCACACGACGAACCTTTGCCGAGGACGAGGTCGAAGGCGTCCGGCAGCGACACCTCCCGGCGCGGCATCCTCTCTCCTCTCCGGTAGCGGTACGGCAAGCTAGGGTTGGCTCAGGCGCGGCGGCCTCGAATGGATCGATCGATCGAGCGGAGAAGAGAATGGTTGGGGTGTGGGGGTGGGGAGTGGGTTAAAAGGAGGAGACAGGCGGGAGGGCAGTGCGAGCACGCAGTGGGAGCTCGACACGTGTGCTCCTCCTTCTGTGGCTCTGCCTCTGGAACAGAGGGTTAGCGATTTTTTTAAATAATATTTTTTAATGATCGACCCCTCGGCCTTCCAAGGACCGTTGGGCAGCCGACAGGCTGCTATATACTCCCTCCGTCCCAAATTGTAAGTTATTCCAAGAATCTTAAAGAGTCAAAGTTTTTTAAGTTTCACCAAATTTATATAACAAAATAATAATATTTATCATACCAAGTAAGTATCATTAGATTCTTCATTAGTTATATTTTCATATTATACCTATTTGATGTCATCAATCTTTGTGTTTCTCTCTATAATTTTAGTCAAACTTAAAAAAGTTTGACTCTATAAGATTCTTGGAATGACTTATAATTTGGGATGGAGGGAGTATCAAATTTTTATATACAATTAATCATTAAAAAATATTATTTTAAAAAGTTTCGAGGGCTAGCCTGCTCTGCCCGTTTGAATTCCATCACGTTTCAATTCCATTCCTTATTTGGGGCCCAAGCCCACACCCAATCCGTGCGTGGCCCATGAGCCAAACAAACTCAAGGAAGGTGTTGCATTCATCCTTTCAAATTGGGATCAAATCGCGTTTGACACGAATGTTTTCATTGTTTCTTTGGTACTGGGATCAAATCGCATTTGACACGAATGTTTTCATTGTTTCTTTGTACCAAAACAAATACATGTAATTATCGCTAACGATTTGTTAGCCAATGAGTAATGAAGTGATGCCCAGTTTTTTTTTTTAAAAAAAAACAAATACAAATTACTTCCTGCCATCAGCAGCAGCTGGATGAGGACCACGCACTCTGCTGCAAACCATTTACCTATGACTACACAAAATACGCAAACACCTAAGCTCAGGGCTTTAGCTAGCGCCATTTCACACAAAAACAACTGCGACTATAAACACTGGCCCGAATAACTTACCAGAGGTTGAAATTTATCCCCTCCTCTCAACAATTGCATACCCTCCTCGTCCGGTGGCCAAAAGAAAAAAGAAAAGCCTTTGCTACATCTCATTCGAACACAGCCTCCAAATTATAATGCAAATGTATGTTCAAAACCACAGTATACATGTAGGTGTCCACTGGACCATATCCAAACAGTATGTACAACAACAATTCTGCTATCAACACTTCAATGTAAACGCGCCGCTCTGAATAATTCAGTTTCAGTCGTGTTGTATATGGAGAGGGCAAGATAAATGCACACAGCAGCATCACAACGTATCTGCAATTGTCTGTCTCTCTTACTACTCCTTGTTACCAGCAAGGCAACAACAATATGACACCAACCAACAGGCAAAGCCTAGAACGTGATGAGGCTCGCAATCACCAGAACGCCGACCAGGATGAGCAGCGCCTTGAGGTACACATCCGCCTGCTGCTGCTGCTGTTGTCCGTGCTGACCGTGCCGAGGAGCGGCGGCGGCGTGGGCATGTCCTCCAGCGTGCCCGCCATGAAACGCGTGGCCATGGCCGTGGCCGTATCCATAAGGGAACCCGGCCGGCTGGCCATAGGCGGTGGCATCCGGGAACCCATGCACCTGGAAGCTGAGCAGCGGGAACAGCCCCCCGAACGCAGCCGAGAAGGTGTAGTTCCCCCACCGCGCGTTCGCCGGTGGGATGCCCCCGCCCATGAACCACGGGTTCGGGTTGGCGTTGGGGAAGTGGGTGTTGGGATCGGCCTGCGGAGCCGTGGCAGGCCTCTGTCCAGCCGGACGGTTGGGGATGTCTGCCCCGGGGGCGTTCTTGGACCTCGGGTCGACACGGTCCTTGCCACGGCCGTAAAGGGGGACGAGCTTGTCCTCCTCGACGATGGCCTTGCACACTGGGCACTCGGGGGAGTGCGAGTGGATGTGCAACCATTTGTAAAGGCACGGCCAGCAGAAGAGGTGCCCACACAGCGTCACGATCGGCTCCTGTGGCAGCTCGAAGCATATGTTGCACTCGAAGCTACCCCCAGCATCAGCGCCACTGCTGCTACCGCTTGTTGATTCCCCAACATTGGCCGCCATGTCGAGTGCTCTTGGAACTGATATTACCTACCTGCAACAGATGGAAATTGCCACAATTGTCAGGCACACAATTCCTCTTGGAAGACAGGAATCGAATTGCAAAATTCAGAAGTACATATATTGTCAGGGAGGTTCGCTCAGGGTATTTGCAGTGATCGGCAGCTAACATACTCATCCGTTCTATTTTTAGGTGTTGTCCTATACAGTCATAGTACCATGTATGTAATGTGTTGGTTTTGAACTGGAATTTACCATCCAGTGTGTATTTTAGAGGCAAAGCTCTTAAAAGCCATCCGGGAAGTTGATTAGCCACAGTGAACCCACTAGTTAGACCATAAAAAATCTAGATGTTTTCGGAAATCAGCCGCCCAACCAACCAATCAGGAGCATATTTCTTGAAGAACAATTGTCTTGGCATCCATCAGAGCAGTTTATGCTAGTACTGGAGAGCTAGGAGCTCCATGGCCCATGCTCTTGTCTTAAGATATACCCAGACAACTATTTACATTTCCTAGAGCGCATGCATGCCATCCGTACAACGAGTCTACTTGGCTGATAATAGGTGGAAAGGAAGAGCTATGTTTACATGTTCCTAGTTGTTTGGTTCATACAAAAAAGGTAGAACTGAGTACGAATAACGGTAGTAGACTGTGTTGGTCCCCCGGCTGCCCTGCACAAGTAAGCAGTAAGCTTACCAACACACTCACTCACTATGGCTAGAGGTAGAAGAAGATACTGAGAACAGCTCACACACAGCGCAAGCCCAGCGCTGATCGAAAGCTCTGCTTCTGGATGTGGCAAACTAAACTGCTCTTTTGCATTGCCTTAGGTGTGATATATATACAAGTGCTAGTACCTCTACCAGGTACATAGTTATTGATGAGTACACCAACTACCTACTCCTAAGGTACACCAACTACTCCTAGTACTAGCAATACAAAGCTTAGATCAGCCCACTACCAAGACATGGCTGATGTAATAGCTACCAACTAATGTACTAGAGGTGGCCTATTGCCATACTGCTACAGCAGTAGAGACTGGACAGCCGAGCTGACCAAATGCCAACTCTGCTGCAGCAAGAGAGAGAGAGATCAGCAGCAGATTATGTCTAACAATTCTTCCCCTAATCCTGCTGCTAACCCGATGCCTTGACCTCATCCATGCCAATCATCTTCCTCAGCTCTATGAACCGCAGGCGCCCGAGTGACTTGGTGAGGATGTCAGCGAGCTATCTGCCGGTCTCGACGAACTCGATGACGATCTGCCCTCCATCGATGCAGTCCCGAAGAAAGTGGAACTTGATGTCAATGTGCTTGCTCCAGTCGTGGAGAACAGGGTTCTTGGCGAGAGCGATAGCGGGCTGGTTGTCCACCATCAGAGCTGGCGGGTGAGCTTCCTCGCCGGTCAGCTCACCCAGCAGCCGGCGCAGCTAGACAGCCTGGCACGCCGCTGTGGCTGCTGCGATGTACTCCGCCTCACACGTTGATAGCGCCACGATCTTTTGCTTCAGCGACTGTCAAGCAATGGGGGCCGTTCCAAGGAAGACGAGCACGCCGGAGGTGCTCCGTCACCCATCAATGTCGTCCGCCATGCCCGCATCGCTGAAGACAGTGAGCTCCGGCTCACCTTCCTTTGCCTTTGGGGGTGCCTCACTGAAGACCGTGAGCAGCAACTCACCCTTGCCGCCACTCTTGGGGAAGATGATCGCTTGATCGAGCACCCCCTTGACGTAGCGCAGCAGCCTTTTCACCGTCGTCCAGTGATCCTCGCGCGGGTCCTCCATGAAGCGGCTGACGTACCCGACCGCGAATGCGATGTACAGCCGAGTGTGCGTGAGGTAGCGCAACCCTCCGACGATGCTCCGGTAGCGTGTCGCGTCCACCTTCGCCGCCATGCTGTGCTTGGACAGCTTCAGCCGCTCCTCCATTGGAGTTGCGCACGGCTTGCACTCAGCCATGCCGCTGCGCTCCAGCAGCTTCTCCGCATAGACGCGCTGGCCCAGGGAGATGTGCTCCTTCCCCTGCCTCACCTCAATGCCGAGGTAGTAGGAGAGCGCGTCGAGATCGCTCATTTTAAAACGAGCAGCCATCTCGCTCTTAAAGCCGCCAATGTCCTCCGCCCGCGCTCCAGTGACGATCAAGTCGTCCACATACACGCCGCCGACGAGCTCCTTCTTCCCCCGTCGCCGCGTGTACAGCGCGTGCTCTGTGGCGCAGCGAGTGAACCCAAGCTCGCCCAAGGTGGCGTCGAGCTTGGCGTTCCATGCCCGAGGGGCCTGCTGCAGCCCGTAGAGCGTCTTGCGCAGCTTGAGCACCTTGTGCTCAGCGCCCTTGACGGCGAAGCCCGGAGCTTGCTTGACGAAGACCGTCTCCGCGAGCTCGCCGTTGAGGAACGCAGACTTGACATCAAGGTGATGGATGCGCCAATCCTTCGCTGCTGCCATGGCCAACAGCAAGTGAACGGACTCCATTCGCGCCACCAGAGCAAAAACTTCCTTGAAGTCGATGCCCTCACGCTGCACGAAGCCGCGGGCGACGAGCCAAGCCTTGTATTTGACAATGGCGATGCGCCAATCCTTCGCTGCTGCCATGGCCAACAGCAAGTGAACGGACTCCATTCGCGCCACCAGAGCAAAAACTTCCTTGAAGTCGATGCCCTCACGCTGCACGAAGCCGCGGGCGACGAGCCAAGCCTTGTATTTGACAATGGCGCCGCGCTTGTCCCGCTTCACCTTGTAAACCCACTTCAGCCCGATCGGCCTGCAGCCCACCGGTGGATCCACCAGCTCCCATGTCCCGTTGTCCTCGATGGCCTTCATCTCTTCCAACATCGCCCGGCGCCAATTGGCGTCGCGTTCGGCCACTGCAAACGTCGGTGGCTCCTCTGCACTGATGAGAAGCAGTTCTGGATCGTTGAGCAGCCGACTCGCCAACCCAGGAGCTCCCCCTTTGCCGACGATGTTGTCCACCCGCCTGAACCGGACCTCCTCGCCGTCGTGGAAAGCGTCCACATACTCGTCGATGTCGGTGGGTGAAGAGGTGAACTCGATCGGTGGTCCATGGCCTCCCTGTTATGCCGGAGTGATCGTCATCGCTGTTGGACCGCTCGGCACCATTGCCGGAGTGGTCGGCATCATTCTTTGGACCGCTTCGGCACCATCTTCCGAGTGGTCGGATCCATCGCTAGAGCGGTCAAGACCTCTCGGAGTGATCGGCTCCCATCTTTGGGCGCTTCGGCACTCTATCATGAAGTGCTCGGCACCCCCTCTGGATTGGTCGGCATTGCTGCTGGACCGTTCGGCACCACTCCTGGGGTGGTCGGCACCTCTTCTCCAGCGTCTCCACCACCGTGGATGACTAAGTGTTCGACAACAAAGGTGCTGTTCAAGCTGCCAGCTTCCCCCGTTCCCGGACCCTCCCAGTCCCAGGCCACCATCTCATCGAACACCACATCCCTAGAGATCACCACCTTGCCTCTCTTGGGATCATAGAGCCGATACACCTTGGTGCCCTCCTCGTAGCCCAGGAGCACCATCGGCGTGCTCTTGTCTTCCAGCTTGCCGAGGTGAGGCTTGGTGTTCTTCACATGGCCGACGCAGCCAAATGTCCTGAGGAAGGATACATTCGGCTTGCGTCCATGCCAAGCCTCGAACGACGTCTTGCCCTTCAGGGTCTTGTGGACGCGCGGTTGAGGATGAACATCGCCGTGGTCACCGCCTCTCCCCAAAACTTTGATGGCATGCTTTTGGCCTTCATCATGGATCGAGCCATGCTGACCACCATCTGGTTCCACCGCTCCACCACGCCATTTTGCTATGGCGAGTACGGTGCAGTGCGGTGTCGCACCACACCCTGATCCGCGCAGTACGCAGCGAACTCCACCGAAGTGAATTCGCCGCCGCTATCAGTCCGCAGCACGCGCAACTTCTTGCCGCTCTCCGCCTCCGCGCGCGCCTTGAACTTTTTGACCGCTTCCGTTTTTCTCGGTTTGCCGGGTGTCAAAATCGCAGCCCACATGAACCGGTTGCGATCATCCACCAAAGAAGATGAAGTACTTGAGCCCGCCGCGTGCGTCACCGGCGTGATCGGCCCGCAGAGAGGTCACCATGGACCACTCGAGGCCTCTCCGCCATGCAGATTGGCGCCCTTCGAACGGCGGCTTTTTTGCTTCCCCGACCAGCAACACACACACGATTCGCTGCGTGCTTTGATATGAGACAACCCGATCCACCATCTTCTCCAGACGACCAAGAGCATCAAAGTTTGAGATGGCCATACCGGGCATGCCACGCCCACGGCTCCTCCGTGTGTGCAGTGCGGCAAAGCAAATGGGTCGCTCCACCTTCAAGTCGGCGGTGTACAAACGGTTCCGTGACCTCTTCACCTTGGCAAGAAGTCGTTGCTCTGGTCCCCCGAACACGAGGACGCTGGCGCCTTGATCAAGACTCATTCCGCGCTCATCCAGCTGGGCAATGCTGATGATGCTTGAACGCAGCTGCGGGATGTAATATACATCCGTCAGCGTGCGGTGCTCTCGCCGTTATGGCACCTGAAGATGATGGTGCCGCGCCGTCGGATCGCCACCCTTGAGCCGTCACCGAACTTCACCGTGCTGGTCACGTTGCCGTCAAGCTCAGAGAAGGCTTCCTTGGAGGAAGCCCGTCATGTGGTTGCTGGCGCCGGAGAACAGGTACCACCGCTGCTCCTGCTCGCCGCCCACACGTCCGAGGTGGACTTCGACGCGCGGTTCGTCGAGGTTGACAGCCTTCAGAGCCTTGCCGTGCCCTTCCACCACCATCACCTCTCCCTTCTCCTTGGCCTCAACGTCGTGCAGTGCACAGAACGTCGCCATTAGGAGAGTGGCCTCATCATCCTCATCAGCCTGCGCTAAATGAGCCTCAGCCTTCTTCTCCTGCTTGCGATTTGAGCACTCCTTTGCCCAATGGCCTGTCTTCCCGCAGCGCCGACAGGCGTTGGGGTCGACCTTCTTCTTCTACTACTCCGAAGAAGCCTTGCCGCGGAGCTTGGCATCGCCGCCGCGACTGGAGGAGGCTTCTCCGGACTTCTTCTCCTTCATCCGGACAGCCCACTCCTCTGTCAGCAGCAGCTTGCCGCTGTCCGTCGTTGCTATGGCCTGCTCCATGCGCTCGTCCACCGCCCGCAGACGGCCTGTCCTCAACGGTGAGGGTGGACAAGTCCAGCATCGTCTCTATGGAGAGAGAGCGATCTAGATGTACTTCACCGGCACGGAGTGGAGGTACTTGGAGACCGCCTCTTCTTCGTCGATGGTGACGTCGTGGCTCCTCGGCTTGCTGATGAGCGACTGCAGGCGGAGGGAGAAGTCCTCCACCGACTCACCATCCTTGAACTTGAGGTTGCGTCCTCCTGCTTCAGCAGCTAGGCCGTCGCCTTCTTTGCGCGGTCGGAGCCGACGCCCATCGCTGCAATGGCCTCCCACGCCTCCTTAGCAGAGTTCTTCGCCCCCAACGGCTCCCTGTACTCCGCTGGCACAGCAGCGAGGATAGCCTCCAACGCTGACATGTCGTCTTCTTCGTTGTCGGTGCCCTTGTCAATGACATTCCAGAGCCGTTGGACACTAAGCTTGACCTTCATAGCCACCGCCCACTCGCCATAGTTGGTGCAAGTCAGCGTCGGCCAACTGGTGCCACTGACCTCCCACACCGTATGCACGACGACCACCTGTCATGGCTGGGCAGCCACAGCAGCGCCACTGCTGTCGTCCATCTCCGAACCGTCCGTCATCGCCAGCGGTTAGTCCGGCGACGACGCTTGTACGACTCCGATACCACTTATTGGTCCCTCGGCTGCCCTGCACAGGTAAGCAGTAAGCTTACCAGCACACTCACTCACTATGGCTAGAGGTAGAAAAAGATATTGAGAATAAAACACACACACAAAGACAAGCCTGGGCCAGTGACCGAAAGCTCTGCTTCTAGATGTGGCAAATTAAACTGCTCTTTTGCATTGCCTTAGGTGTGATATATATACAAGTGCTAGTACCTCTACCAGGTACATAGTTGTTGATGAGTACACCAACTACCTACTCCTAAGGTACACCAACTACTCCTAATACTAGCAGTACAAAGCTTAGATCAGCCCACTATCAAAACATGGCTGATGTAATAGCTACCAACTAATTTACTAGAGGTGGCATATTATCATACTTCTATAACAGTAGAGACTGGAGTACTGGACAGCCGAGCTGACCAAATGCCACTTCTGCTGCAGCAAGAGAGAGATCAGCAGCAGATTATGTCTTACTGACTGTTCGAGGTCTTTTGCTTTCCTCTTTTTGTTTCTTCTGTCGGTACAAACTACTGCCTGCGTTAGAGATAGTAGCAAGCAAATATAGAAGTGTGTCCATGTCCAAAAAGAGTAAAAACAATGTATGGCGCACCCTGTTTCAAAGGTGTCGCCTAGGCATCCAAGCGTGCTCAGCTCGCCTTGTGGAACAGTGTCACCTTGTCGCCTAGGCATCACCCTAGGCACCGCCTAGGCATCCAGGCAGACCCAACACACACCTGGCCGTTTAGCTGCCTTTGGAACCATGATGGCACATAGGGACTGCATGCACATTGGTGTACCGACTTGAACAGAATAGGGAAGCAGAGGAACTACTAAGACTAGGACAGAAATAACAGAGCTTTGTTTTTCTTTCAGTCCCCAACCTGAGGCTGAGGCCTGCAATCAGCTCTAGTTGGCACTCCATGAGCACGAGCACTATAACAGCAGCATAACGAAGCAGAAATGATGGATGCCGTCTGTTGTTGCGCATATGGAGGAGGAAGCAAACAACTAGAGTAGAACGGAAACTACAGTATGGTGGAAATTCGAGCTGAAATCGCAAGTGAGGGTGAGTGCTCCGCTCCACCCAGGGAGAGATGGATGGAGTGGAAGGAGCCCTAGCACTAGCAGAAGAGATCTGAAACCCCCGTCCCATCCCATTCCTATCGAGGAGATGACATCGCGGCAGGAATCGGGGAAAAACAACAGCCGAGGCGACCGATCTGACTCGTAGTAACAAGTAGCAAGAAAGCTAACGTAGCGGCTGGTGCCCGCCCAGCCCAGGCACAGCCGACGGGCGGAACCGGAATCGGGCGGGGAACGCAAGGAATCCGGCGAGCCGGCGGTCTGATCTGACTTACTCCTAGTCCTAGTGCTAGTCAATCTGTAGCAGCAGCAGGAGGAATCCAGCCGTGCGGGAGCAAGCAGAGGGAGGGATGGAGGAGAGGGAGAGTGTCAGCGGAAGTTACCGGCGGCCGGGGCGGCGGTGGCGTGGGAGACGGACGGAGATGCGAAAAGCTTTCGAGGCGTGCGACGAGAGGGCAGGCAGACGGGGACGGGATGTGCCTGGACCTGGTCGCGCCGCGACTAATTAGTACAGTAGTATTTTTTAACTGAACTTATTTGTTAGTTTAAAAAAATTAATGATAATCACGGTGTCGGTGAGTACTAGTGAACTGCTCTCGGTCTCGGGGCGTATGCGTATCCAGTACACGTGCAATGTATGTTGGGCCTTTGCGAGCCCGGCCCAGACAGATGGTTACTGGGTTCGATGCGTGGAGCCACATCATCTCAACTCTCAAAGGTGCAGAATTCCTAGCCTCTGCTGCTTGCTGCATTCCTCGTTTGCTTCACGTAAGGATCAAGTTCTTCGTTTGCTTCAGGAAAGGATCAAAGGAGTGTATCTCTGAAAAGAAGTTTGCTTCAGGAAAGGATCAAAGGAATGTATCTCTGGAAAGGAGTTTATTCTGTGGGTGAAAGTACGCTGCCGCCCAGTATCAAAGAACTGTTTGTTCCTTTTGTTTTAATTCTTGATTGATTTTGGCTTTTCTTGTTTCTTGTCTATGTACGTGCTTTGTTTTCCTTTTAATATATTATATACTCTCTCTCCGTTTTATATTATAAAATATTTTAACTTTTCTAGATACATACTATTCACTTAGATATTCACTATGTCTATATATATATATCAAAAGCAATATATTTAGAAAAAAAAAAACATCTAGTAATGTAGAATGGATGGAGTAAGAATAATAACAGTAAGGGCTTCCCCCTTCTGTTTCATAAAAGAATTTTTTTAGAACGAAAAATAAATAATTTAGTTGTAACAAAGCAAATATGCAAGGTACTGATATAGATATATATATATATATCAAACATTAGATGTCCAAAACCATATCATATATATATATATTTTATATTGCAAGATTCATTTCATGTCCAGAACCATAGTCATATCATTTTGATATTTTGGTAAATGATTGCAAGATTCAGGTCTCAAGTTCGATGCCCTGGATAACAGAAATCCATTTTTTGACCTTTCGCACACTTGCATCTGCTGGAGGTATAAATTACTACCATGAAACCCGTCAACCTCAAATACTTGATCGATATGTCATATATGTACAAGCAGTATTTATCTGCCAGGTCTTTATTCTGTAGCTACAAGAAATACTAGCAGCAAAGTCTAGGACCTCTAGGTATACTGTACCCTAACAAGCGTAACTGCGTAAGGCTACGAGATGTTCTACAGCGTGAAAGGAGTCTTCCAGTTGCTACACTTGGGTGAACTCCAAGGCATTCCCGTCTGGGTCTCTTGCAAAGATCGCTGGCCTCCCGGATTTGCTTAGTGTGTAGCTGATTCCTGCATTTATTTGTTTAGTAGCAAGGCAACCATATGTTCAGACGGTTGGTAAAAGAATGGCATACGTTATGCTGACTTACAGTCGTCAGACTTTCATGATAATCTGGCTTGATGAAAAACAGACGACAACACAGATCATATCATGATAAAGGCATAAGTTTGAAGAGTTTATGTTTAGTACAAGAGAGAAGTCCTACATAAAAGCTGAAACAAGTCTCATGCATATAACGGACACAACACACAAAAATAAAGTCATGTGGATCTAACTTAAAGCGATCATAAGAAATCTATGGAGCAGGTTTCTGATAGATTATACACACATCATTATTGAGCTGACTGTAAAAATATAGCTACTTCTGAACAGCTGTAAGAAAATGGCGACTAAAACCATGGGTGTTAGTTTTTGGAGAGAGAGAGAGAGAGAGAGAGAGAGATTTGCAAGCCAGCTGCAAAAAAAGCAATAAATAGAGTTATTTCATTGACATTACAAGCAGCTCTTCTAGGATGGCGCAAGGCATATATAATCACACGACAAAGATCATATCACATAGCAGAGTGCAATTAGACAAAAAAAGTGATTACCTAGTGTGCATTTTTTAAGTAGCAGGCAAGGAAAGTAAAGAGTCAGGCATACCAGCTTTGTCAAATATTTCTTTCAGCTTCAAAACATCTTTAATTGCTATACAGGTGTGACGATCACGTCCACCATGCTCGGGGCGTCCTGTCAGTGGATCAGGATTTGGTAGCTCCATCAAGTGGATCATCTCCGAACCAACCCACAGCCAAGCACCCCTGTATGGAAGCTTGTCATTTGGCCTAGCTGGATTCACCTTCAGACCTGATTAAGCAATGCGTCAGTTTGCTTTACAAGCAACCACCGCAGAACAGCAGAAATACAACGTACACAGCAGAAAGCAAGCTAACTCACCCAGGAGGTCCTTGTAGAATGCCATTGACCTTTCAAGATTTTCGCACAGAATTCCAACATGATGAATGCTAACGACTCCATAGTCAGGTTCTGCACCGAAGAGCAGACAACAATCTTGTTAATTTGGATTGAATCTAGTCAGTGGAACTTCATTAAAATATACATTTCTTCGACCGAGCCAACTCTATGACCGTAAGCAACAAGCTAATAATAGTTGCCTTGTACAGAGAAGTGAAGGCCTGCTTAGCGCTTACATAAGTTACATCATCATCATGGATGCACTAGCCTACCATCATAATAATACTCCATTTGTGCATTCATTTGTGAAGACTAAAAACAGTAAATTCAGCAGCCTGGCTGAGTTAGTAGGTATGACACTGTCACGAATTATACTAGTACATAACACATTTTGATGTGCTTTTCCATAAACATATAATATAATTTAGAAAATGTAAAATTTGTATACGTTGACATTTATTCGCCTCAAAGCATGAACAGCTAGAAGGGCGGGCCTGGTGCAAGCGGTAGAGTCTTACCGCCTGTGACCGGAAGGTCCTGGGTTCGAGTCGCGGTCTCCTCGCATTGCACAGGCGAGGGTAAGGCTTGCCACTGACACCCTTCCCCAGACCCCGCACAGAGCGGGAGCTCTCTGCACTCGATACGCCCTTTAAAGCATGAACAGCTAGCTTAATGGGACACAATGGTTGCGAACTCTCCTACTGGAAAAGATGAGCAGCCACAGAAATCTAATGTCCAGTTTTCGTTCAGTAAGGAAATAGTTCATAGAGCTAGTGCGGAGCTAGCCACACGATTATGATGCAACAAGATTCTTGGAACCGGAGCAGGCCCCAGTTAGAGAGGGAGACATTTCTCCCTGCCGCCAAACAACAATTTGTTGTTCAGAGTGACGGCAAATTTTCCAAAGTTAACAGATGTCTGAGTGTTACCCATCGCTTATTCAGAGACCATTCTAATTGGAGCAAAATAGCAGCAACCAGAAAGTAAATTAGTAATCCAACCATTACCCAATACCGGAATCACCTAAGTAATACTAATTCATTTATGCAGAGAAAGAGTCTCCATCCCTTGTCACATAATCAATTGGATTGGATCTAACATTTTATATAGTAGCAGGCGACAGCAAGAAGCAATAACGGCTCACCATGCGCCGGATCCTGCGCGGTGATGAGCTGCTGCTCCCCGCCCGTGGCAACCGAAAGGCGTGTTGGGACGCGGCGGGGCGCGGCGGCGGAGGGGAGAGGCTGGGCCCTGGCCGCCGCGGCGGCTGTGGATGCGGAGAGTAGGGGAAGAGACCCTGCGAGGCACCGCGTCGCCATTGCTGCCTTCTTCCCAGAGACGCTCGCGTCCTCTACCCCGCGTCTTGTGGACTGTATGGGCCTCTTTTTGTGGGCTCCGGCCTTTCTGTCATTTTCTCTCCCTTTGCTTTTTTTTTTCTTTTTTTGGTTTCATGCACCTCGAGATTTTGTGAGTTTTGTTTTTTGATAACCGATTTTGTGAGGTTGGGACAGACCTGATATAACTCAGGATCAGCCTCCTAACAAAAAAAAATCCCCTCAAAGAAAAACAAAAAAAATCAAATTTTTGGATTCACTATGACCACAAGTTCTCACGGACGGTGAAGCGGTGATGTGATTATTGCTGGACTGTCACGAGTATCGAAGGGGAGACGTAATCAATTGGATTGGGCCTCTTGACACATGTATAGTGGGCCTCGGTCTAAGGCACCGTTTGTATCCTTCAGATTTTGAGAATGCGGATAGAAATAAATCCCACAATACTAGTTCTCATCCAAACGGTCTAATATTTTAGAGGGATTTTAGCTCACGGATTTTTAGAATATATCTAAATCCAATAAACCTATTGGGATTCTTTTTATCCGGATTCCCATTCCCATAATTTAGTGGGGTTCAAACGGTGCCTAGTGTGGTGTGTGTTCGGCGATGGTATACTGCTACCGGAAGAAACGGACGTGTATTGAGTTCCCAAATTTCTTCAGGACCTACTTCTAGTTCTTCCCAAATTCTTGATTATCCCTTCCGAATTTGTATCTAGATTTTGCTTGATCCTAACAAGGGCCTATTGTTGTGCATAATTTTTTTGCTTTTGTGTTGGACATTCTTTTATGATGAAGATTATGCTTTTTTGGTGCTTTGTTCTCCTTTGCGAATTAATAATATGAAACATCACCCCCCCCTAATTTTTATATATTAAAACCCATATATATTCTAGTTACCGTTTCCCCCCCCAAAGTCCTGGAATGATGCACTGGAGTTAGTTGTTGACATGGCAGGGATAATCCTTTATTTTTTACCGTCTCCATGTTAATTAGTTATGCAACGCGCTCCATCACATGTGCAACCATACATGCATTATATTATTATTAATTATATACCGAGTCGTACAGCACGACATAAGTCAAGTCTACGGCGTGTTATTAGGGAAAGAAAAGAAAAGAATGAAATCAGCTTAGTTATATCCTTTTATTAAAAAGTGAGTTGACTTAGTCATGTGCGTGTGTTAGCAATGACGGCAGGGCCGGGCTAACGAATTTCAGTTAGTACAAGTCTTGTGACGCCGATCTTGAACGACGACCGTCCAGTGAATGCAGACCATCTACTGGCAGAGAATTGCAGCAGTCGTCCTTGTCTGACCGGGACCGGCTCCGATCCGGCCGGCTGGAATTGCCAAATCCACGACAGGCTACGGTCTTGTTCAGTTGTCTAGAATCGAACTATCCTCAGCTGAGGTCTTTTTTTTTTATATGTCGTTGGGTTCACCCCGAAAAGGAGGTTTTTTTTTTTATCCCAGCCCTAGGCAATTGAAATCGAACGCCTAAGAGGATGCCTGGGCCAAGCAGCTCCTAGCAGGCCGCTGCGAACCAAACACGCCTGTAACACATGTCTTTCTCAAAGGAACCTAGGTAGGCAGGTCTATTCTCCACCCTCCTTTTGGACTATTATTATTACATCTCCTACCGCTCCATCCTGTATGATTGTACCAGGCCTTGAGTAATAACACACCCAATATCCACCATGTTCGCTTGAACTGCTTATCAATCATGATATAATATTTTTCTCTCACAATAAAATAACATTAGCCGTAGAAACCATCAGCCGAACAGGACAATCTACAATCCTATATGTAACACCGGATGTCGTTTTTTTTAACGAAGCGAGCAAAGAGAGCTACCAATTTACATACATTGACAAAAAAGAAGATCCAGACTAGACAAACAACGACCTTAGGAGGAAGCAAACAACAAAGATACAACATTAACTACAACTAGGACAAGTCAAAATATCAGTGACAAAAGCCAAAGTTTCACCATATTTACACCTCCATATAGTCAAAAATCATTACAATCATAAAAAAGAGTACCCTCTCGAATTTGCTCGAGCTCGCCCCCTGGTTCTTAGACTTTGCTAGAGCACAGGTTGACGGTCTCATTGTTTAAACCAATTCAAGTCCCCCACGCCAGTTGTTAGCTTAATTAGGACACTCTACAGACTGTCCTCTACTACTCCCTCCGTCCAAAAAAGAATACAATTCTCGTTTTTTCGAAAGTCAAATAGTTTAAACTTTGACTAAATTTATATAAAAAAGTGCAGACATTTATGATATAAAGTAAGTACCATTAAATTAGTTATATAATATATTTTTATAATAAATTTATTTAGAGACATAAATGCTAATAATATTTGCTATAAATTTAGTCAAACTTGAGCTTCTTTGAACAGCATGTATCCCATAATTACATTCTTCAAGAGAAGATAGTAATATATTTGACTGGCTGATGTACTGCCAGCAATTTTCGAAAAAAGGACACTCTACAGACATCATATATGCTCCAGTCAAGTCCATGCATGTGATTATGTGAACAGATAAAATTCCATTATTCTCTATGCTTACTTTGCGCTATTTATAATCTAACAACACTTTCCCTGCTTGTCGACCTCGTTCACAACCAACCTAATAATATTCCAAAGCAATGTGCTTCTCCACCGGATCCCAACAAGCTACGGGTCTTTTTCTTTTCCGGTCAGGTGTTGTTCCTTTCCTCATGAAAAGGGGAATAAAGTTTGGTAGAGCAGCACCATCCATCCTGTTCATGTCATGCATGAAACTGAAGCTGAAACCCAGACGCTGGCTGGGGCATCATACTGGAATCTCCCCTTCAGGTACCAGTGGTAAGAGCAGTGCCTAACACCACACCAATCCGTCAGAGGACCAGGCCTGTTTCGTCGCAAATTAAAATATAAACAGATGGCTAGTGATGTCGCCAACAAAACCGCTGTCAAATCATTGGAGTTTCAGAGGATGAAGCAACTTGTGTGGATTATATATTCTAGAAAGGCAAACTGAAGGCAGCAAAGAAAACTTGTGAGATATAAAGAGAGACTGAGGGGATTCCTTTTGTTTCGCGCTTTTCCAGTGAACTGAAGCTCCAGCAACCTTTATCCAGATTCTAGAACGGCGACGTGGTATGGTGTCCTCTTTTTCTTGGGACAACGCAAGTGCACATGCATTGCTTCTCTTTTTTGTTTCTAGATAGATGCAAAAATCCAATCGACTTTGGGTGACTTGGCTCACGCCACATCGTTGTGCAGATATTATCGTAGTACTAAAGGAAGCGTGGAAAGAAGAGTACAAAAACGAAGGGAAGGCCAAGGGTCGACGGAACAGATGATGATGAAGAGCACATGCATGCACTCGTGTTTGCAATGGGACATATGGGAGTAGGGAGTAGTAGGAGTGGTACTTTGAGAGGCAGAGCCAGCCAACAGATAAGATTTCATAGATAGATTGTCATCTGTTGCCTGCTTGCCTCCTTCATTTCTGTCATTTTCTGCTCTTCTGGAATTATGTACATTTTTAACAGATAGATTTCATGGATAGATAGTAGATTTCTGTCCTATGGATGGATGGATGATGGATCAAAGAGAACTCAGCATTCATACCAGACAAATGTGTACATATCATAGGCATGCTTTGGTTTGACAATAAATTGTATGCGGACTGAATGGACACTTGTGTCCGGTGTGTGTGGGGGGCGTCAGGCGGCGTCCCTCTAGAACGCTTGAATGAATTGTTTTTTTCATTCTGTGGAAAAAAAAAGGGGGAGAGGGCAAGTCGGTTGCGATGGAGATAAACCACCGAATTAATTAATCAGCCAGCATCGGAGGTTTAGTTTCAGGGTTGTTAAATTAATCGGTAATGCTACTGTTGGGTCGTCCCTCCGTCCGGAACTGACCCCGCCTGTGTCACCCACTCGTGGAACAGACCCTGCCCACACCACCCCCGTCCGCATGAATCCTGTCCTCTCCCGCGCTGCCCTTTGCTCGCGGGATGGATCTTGCTCTTCCTCGCGCCACCCCCGCCTGTACACGCACCTTCCGTTGCGGCCGCTCTCCATCTGCCTGCCGCCGCCCTTGCCGAGGTCCGAGCCGCCGACAAGCTCCACACCGGCGAGCTCCGCACCACTTCGTAGCATCGAGCTCCATGCCGGCATCAAGCTCCACGACGACGAGCCACCATTTTCGTCCAACAGCAAGTAGATGTTGTGCTTCAAAGCACGTGTTGCAAGTGTCTGTTTCAAGTAATTTCAGAGATATGTGCATGTGTTTCATACAGATGTTGTAAAAGTAGATCGAGATGTTGCATAACGTATGTTGCAAGCTTTTGTTCCCAATGGTTTATCTGTTTTTAGACGTATATTGTAAGTGTGTTTGTCTGGATGTTGCATATGTTTCACACATATATATTTGCAAGTGTTTTATCTCGATGTTGCGTATGTTTTTGCAATGGTTTCAATTGTTTTTCTGGTGTTTTCAAGTGTTTCGTCTGCCTTCAGACATATATTGCAAGTGTTGTATCTGAATGTTTCAAACTAGATCGGGTGTTGCATCTTCCTCCTCGTCTTCTGCTGCCTCGTATCGGTGTCTCCTCCTCCTCTCGGCACCGGCTGGACATCCGCCGCCGCCTCCTCTCTCTCTTTTCGGGGCTAGTGATGTCGGAGACAGCGCGGGCCTATGTGGATGCACAAAACGGTGTGGAAAAAATGACTGCAGGCGTGAACATCTAGACGCCCCGTCCGTTCGGTCGACGGGCGCTAGCAAGCCCGTAAATTAAACCAAGGGCAAGGGATTAGACTAGATTAGATTAGATTATGAGAAAAATAATGCAGGTAACAGGTACCGACGCCGCCGACCACATCCTCTCACTCACTCTCGCTCACTCTCACTCTCCACCTGCTACGGATTGGATTGGTATATATCCTTAAACAATACTACGTAGAGTACAATACAGTATTAGCAGC